ACCCGGCTGCTCACTTTTAAATTTTCAGTGTCATCTGAAAAATTGGTCAATGGGGTCCCCCAAAAATGTTCAAGCATATGAGGATTCTAAAATACGTCAGACTTAAGCCTTGCAAGCTTTTCACATATTATAGACAAGGATGGAGGTTACATCTTAATAGGGCCAAAATATGATTTGTTTTGGTGCATAATACTTGAATCTGAAGGTTCCATTTCAGATCACTGGTTTGAATGACATGCTAGTAATGTGGCATTTCTTTCTTGTCATTTGCATTATGTTACATTTTTTAGGTTGGAGTCACATGCCCCATTTTCATAGCCACCATCCTTGTTTATTAATGTCGTTTTGTATTATGTATCTGCCCAGTTTTTATGGATCAGAAGCATGCACAGTCATCTGCAGAGATGTGAACTTTTGAGTTGGTTGCAATGATATCACTGATATGCAAATAAAACAGCACTGGCCCAAATACTGTACCTTGAGGTACTCCAGAGGTACCACCTCACATTGTACTCAGAAACATACAAAGGTTTAAAGTCTAGCCAGTGTAGAGTTGTCAACAATTCCATGCTGAATTAGATTCAAAATCTTTTTCAAGGTCTTTTACAAAAATGTATACTATTAATTTAACTTTAATTAATCATCAATTACTCAACAAAATTGTGCTTTGTAATTTCTGGAAGACATATTGTTTATCAGATATGGTTAAATAGTTAGAACAGACAATATTTGCAAATATTTGCAAAGTTCACCATGAATGAGCTTCGGTGGTAATAGGTCGGCCATTGTGCTCTCACCTTTTGTTGAATTATAATGCACAATTTAATAACCAGTAACATTTGGAAACACATAGTATTTTTTTACAAATTGTAATTCAATGATCAACTGTATTTCCAAAATCAATAGAAAACTGACGCAGACAATATCATTTTTCAACATGAGATGGCAAATGGAATGATGCCACTTATTATGCTTGTGTTCAGTACATATCATAGGAACACCATTTGCATGGATTTCAGTGAGAATGTTTACATGTTTCCACCTAAAGTGTCTAGATTCCACTAAAATAGGCATTTTATTTGTTGGATATTCATGTGAAGTAATGATTACTAGATGCAGAAACTTTACTAAATCTAGACATAGGTGTTGCTGTGTATGATAGTAATTCAGAATTTAATGTTTTGTTACAGGATATTTACAGTTTCATTTGGAAGAATGCTTTAGTTTGATTTCTTTTTGTCAGTTGGGAGACTAGCATTTGTCAGTTGATATATATATATATATATATATATATATATATATATATATATATATATATATATATATATATATATATATATATATATATAATTACTATATTTATCATATAGTTGTAGATGTACATTTATCATCTTTGTTTGTACATGAGTCTCGGGAATAAATTGGCAATATTCCAACAGGTAACCTTTTTTTTCCCCAATACATCAATTGTAAAGATGGCTGCCAAATTGTTGATAATAATACTAAGAGGTTATAGACCTACCCAAGTTAAATTTGAAAGGTTGCAGCCAATCAGAATGCTGCACAAGGATTTCATGGGTTTGTTTAGAACTATCAGATTCACAAAAAAATAGGTTAAGCTGTATGTAAACAATAAGATTTGATAATTGTTGTTGTTGTTTTTGGGCTTAACGCCATTTTTCAGCACATGATAGGCTATTCATGGCGGCCAGTATTAATGGTGGAGGAAGAAACCGGGAAATCACCGGAAAGAACCACCGACCCACGAGAAGCTACTGGCAAGCTTTCTCACATATCCACATTCGAGGAATCCTAGACTCGAACCCACGCAGACTGAGGTGAGATGGCAGTGATCCGTAACGGACAGCGCTTTAGACCACTCGGCCACTCGGGGCCCCAGATTTGATAATACCAGTATTTACTCTAAAAAACAATAGCCATTGATATTATATTTTCATGATTTATATTAGCCAGATGATAGGTAGTTCTAGTGGACTTTATGCAAGCAGCTGGGACTTTTCTAGTGTCTTATGTGATTAGGGGGTCCACCCCAAATGCAGGAGGTTGTTGGTTCGAACCCTGGCTGAGTCATACCAAAAACTTATAAAAAATGGTACTATAATAGCTGCCTTGCTAGTCGCTCAGCATTAAGAGGCTAGTGTTAAGACTGGTTGGCCTGGTGTCAGGATAATGTGACTGGGTGGGACATGATGCTACATGTCTGCAGCATGATGCCCCAGTGCTAGATGTCTCTATAAACTGCCACACTGCAGACGTCTTAGTAATATGACTGAAAAATTTTAAAGCTACATTAAAATCCAAATCAAACACTCTCATGCAAACACCTGGCTGATCATGATGTGAGTTGTATATCCCATAATGAAGTTGAACTTCTTAAACATGTACCAGAAAAGTCTTTTGTTTATTGTAGAAGTGATAATGTATAAGGTTAATATGATATAAATCATGTCATTTGGTTTGTGTACTTTTATGCATGTAGGCATCCACACGACAACCAGGAGTTCCTATCATTGCTCCTGGTTACTGAGATCTGCAAAATTATATGTAACATTCATCTTTTATATCACCTGCCATCTTGACACATCATTATCTAAAATTTATATCCTATGTTGTATCGAGGTAAATGTTTTACTTGCACTACTACAACTATAAACATTGAATATCAAGGCTCAATAGTAGAAGTAAAATTGACAGGATGAAATACCTGCCCAGATAAGTGATATAGGTACATGGAAGCAATCACAAATATCTTAGGGCTGATTAAATTTTATTTCCACCCACTTGTCCAGGACAAGTAGTTTCAGAAAATTTACTTGTCCTACTCGGCTGTTCAGCAAATAAATGACATGTACATTTGAATTCATGGAAAGAACAAAAGAAAGATACATCAAATTAATTTCTTTAAAGGTCTCATAACTTGCACCACATTGAGCACAATTCTTCTGTAGTGCCTTTGCAGAAAATGGATTTCTATAACAGGCTAGGGTGTAGATTCGGTTAAACAGCTGATTTTTAATTTCATGCTTTGAATTTTAAAATGGCCTTTCTAGGAGATTTTAATTCTAACGTATGAGGTTTTTGCACATGCTGGCTGGTGTCGTACATATTATACTGTAGAGCATGGGCATCATCAGTTCCAGAATGGTCTTGAGATTTTATTGGATCCATCCTGAATTTCTCATTTGATTTACAAATAAACTTACTGACTTGCCAGTTTACGATATTGTTTACAGCAAGTGCAAAACATATTTCCCTCAGTCACTGAATTCTAGCAATGGGTAATTACCAACTTGAAAATTTATCTTTCAGTTTTATTATATTTAACATTTTCTGCCAGTGCAGAGTATGACTAGGTTTTTTTTAGAAAAATAGTTACTTTGGACTTGTTGGGAGCCTAACATTGTATCCCTCCACTTTTACTTTAATTTTTCTGATCATATTCTTATACCTTCTTTGCGAAAAATGACATCTTTTTTATGTAGTAAAGATCAGCTTGCTTGACAGCTACCTCTGAGGTGGTGTGTGTGTGTGATTTGGATTTTTAATGTAGCTGTAGAATTTTCCAGTCATATTGCTATGATGACTACAGTGTGGTAATGAATTTATAGTGATGTTTAGCACATGGACATATGCCACATACATTTAGCATCTTGTCCCACCCAGTCCCATTATCCTGACACCTGACCCGACCAGTCCTCACATTAACCTCTTAATGCTGAGCACCAAGCAAGGCAGCTGCTAGGACCATTTTTGTAAGTCTTTGGTATGACTCGGTTGGGGTTTGAATGCATTACCTCCTGCATTGGAGGCAGAGTCTATAACCACTTAGGCCAAGAGATAACATATATTTTGTCATTTGAATATAAGAACAGATTTTTCATAAATTGTCTGTTTTATTTCTGAGGCAATATCACACATAAAAGATGATCATTAGTTTAATTGAATAAAAATTAAAGAATCATTACTGTCATTTAATCAATTCATAAAGGAAACATGACTCTGATGCAGACCTTCAAATTAATTTAATTTTATTAACATTGATAGGTCATCCACTCTATCAGTGTTAAAAAAATCTAAGAAGGTCATTACAGAGTTTGAAGTGTTTATAATGGCTGATTATTATGTTGCTATGCCAGTATGCATTCAAGTGGTAAATAGAGAATTCCAATATGCAGTTGTTATCAGTAACCACTTTTTATAGGTTTCATATATCTAAGGATTTAAATGAATGAAATTAAAGATAAAAACATTCAGTACATGGATGACCAGATTAAAACATTCAGTACATGGATGACCAGATGAAGATAGATGAAGTGGTGAAAGCAAGAAATTCGGTACTTCTCCGACTCGTTTTAAAATAGGAGAGCAACACTTGTCCTGCATGGACTAGTGTTAAGGAAACTTGTATTTATCCAACTTTTAAAATGAATTATTTTGGATATATGGCTGTGGATTATTTATCATTCCAGTAACTTCACTTTAGACAAGGTGCCTGAAGCAAGGTTACAGTATTTGTGATGAAACTAGTGCACAATTGATGTATATGCAAGCATAGCACAAGAGCATTTTAGGGCACAGATTGCTGTCGATTCCCTGTCATCTGACCATGTTATATTTATTTTTGGACTGTTAGCATAAGTTTGTTATAGCAACTACCCTTCAACTTGTCATGAAGCATTGTACACACATTCATTCCAAGGTCTAATTGATCCAAAATGTAAATAGTGCCCCATGGACATCCAGTATGGCCATTGTGGTGATAAACTTGAAAATTTATCACTGTTCTTCTTGAATGGATAATCATATCAAAATGTGGTTTTCACCTTAACACTGCTTGTGATGTCTAGTTGGTTTTCAATGAAAATGGGGCCAATCTGACAGCAAAATGATAGCCTTGAAAATCATGCCACACTACTCTTGTCCACATGGTCATATTGATATGGACTTTCTTATACTAGTCTAATTGGTCTTAACTCAAAGACTGCTCCAGTGGCCTAGTTGTTAGAGTGTCCGCCTCGGATACGGGAAGTCGTTGGTTCGATCCCCAGTTGAGTCATACCAAAGACTTACAAAAATGGTACTAACAGCTTCCTCGCTTTGCACTCGGCATTGAGAGGTTAGTGTTAGGACTGGTCGGCCTAGTGTTAAGATAATGTGACTGTGTGGGACATCATGCTACATGTCTGCGGCATGATGCCCAAGTGCTAGACATCACTATAAACTGCCACACTGCAAACATTGTAGCGATAAGACTAAAAAATTTGTTAAAGCTACGTTAAAAATCATAATCACATCACATCCTAACTCAAAGTGGATGAATCCAATGATCTGATATCTAATATGGTTTCATGATTTTCATTATGAAAATGTTGTCACTACTACTACATGGATGGCCATATTAAAATGGGGTTTTCATTAAAAAAAACAGTATGTATTGTTAGTCCTAACTGAAATTGGTGCTGACTCACCAGTTTGATTGCATGACACCTATCTTAAACATCTTTCTTTCACTACTTCAGTCTTCTGACTGGATAGTCTTTGCAATATGGAGTTTTCACTGAGAGGTTTATTATGATAATGTAGTTGCTCTTAAATGTGAATAGATCTGGTCAGAGCTATAGCTTGGCCACCATTGTAGTAGCCATCTTGAAAATATTAATCTTCTGAACAGATGGTCATATACATATGGTGTTTTTCACTAAAAGACCTGTCGTGATATATATATATATATATATATATATATATATATATATATATATATATATATAAAGAATACAAATCATATGGCGAATAACAACCCTCTCAAGCGTACTGGATCCACCAAAGGAACATGTGTGTCAGGGATTAATTAAAATAGATGCAATAAACTGACGACGAACAGTACGAAACTAGTAATCAACTAGCCTAAGCGCTTTCGACTCTTAATGAGTCTTTTTCAAAGGCAAATACAAAACATAGTTACGACAAACAAATAAACATAAAAACGTTGTGTTTGTAAACCTCTACATTTCTGTCTTCACATGTGCTAAAACTATAAATACAACCAGCTTGTATAGACTAGTTGCGGAAACTGAAAACGTATAATTCCCTAAAGTCTACAAGCCAAAGCGACATCTATTTTTACTTTGTGTACATATGTAACGCAGATTATATCCCGGATATTTGATTCTATACCGGTTATTCTTATAGTAAAAATTGAAGGATAATAAGAAGATTTAGAAAATGTTAAATTCTACTAGTGCATAGTTTTCATTTTCTAGTCTTCTTGGTTTAGACCACTTGGTTTCAATGTTCTAAGGCGGCGTATCCAGTATGATTCCTTTTCCTTCCTGGTTTCGGAACTCCAGCTGTGGTTGTTAGCAATAGCGATAAGTATTATATCACTGAAAGTGTGGCCAGGGGAGGAGAAGTGTTCTGCGACCGGGCTCCTGTACAGCTTTTTTGTCATCCAATCAGATCTATGAAGGTTTATCCTTTTGTGTAGCTTTTCAGTTTCTCTGACGTACTGAAGGCCACAGATCTTTCATGTGATGAGATAAATCACATTCTCTGTTTTGCATGTTTTGTTTGGACCATGGATGCTTAGTTTTTCTTTAGTCACTGTGCTAGTGAATGTCTTGGTCTTTATCATATGTTGACAGGTTTTGCATCTTTTATCGCCACAGGGTCCAGATTGACTAGGTTGGTTTTGACTAGCGATTGTTGTTAGCTTGGCCCTGACTAGGATGTCCTTTAGGTTTTTTGGTCTCCAGTAAGCTACTACAGGTTTGTTAGGTTTAGTATGTCTGACGATTGCACACAGTTGGCCAGTGGTTTGCGATGATTTTACCTACTTTGGGATTGTCTGGGTGATAGGTCAGAATAAATGGTATCCTATCAACCTTTTCTTTCTGTCCATATCTGACATATATATATATATATATATATATATATATATATATATATATATATATATATATATATATATATATATATATATATATATATATATACACACATATGGTGTTTCTCACTAAAAGACCTGTTATGATATATAGAACTAGAAGAACTTTTATGATATATCTTTTATTGAAAAACCCCATATGTATATATAATAAAAGGTCTTTTAGTGAAAATACCATATGAATATATATATCATTAAAGATCTTTCCCATATGTATATATATACACACACACACACACACACACAAAGGTTTTTCACAAAGTTCTTTTGATATATAACTTGTTTTCTTAAGTTCTATTGTCTTGAGAACACTATAATGGAATAAGAATTTAATGAATTTTTTATCAGTTTGTAAATATATTAGGGGGATGCATTTAATGGTGCTGCCTAAATAACTTTATTGTTTTCATCCCAAAATATGTACATTATTGTAATCAAAATTAAAAGTATTGGTGGGTTTATCTTTAAGTTTGCTAATGTAAGTTCTGTGATTTAAAAAAAAAATCCAAGATCTCAAGTTCTAATTCAACAGCCATGACAAGGAATTTTTTGCATGCACTAAAAGGAATCTAGTGAGCATGTTAACTTAGTCATTGAGGAAAATATTTTTATTAATATTGTTGTGTTGGAGTTTCTCAAGAATATCTGAGATTATTTAATTACTCTGCAGTTAAAAATATTAAAAAGACAAAAAAAATTTACTTGGATATCAAAAAGTTATTTTTGGCCAGTTGATTGTCAGTCCTTTCAAGGGACTCCTATTTTATCAGTAAACTGCACCCATGAGAAGGGGTGGTGACTGTTGGAAAGTTTTCCGCAAAATATTTTTTCAAACCATTGGACATAAAAACCCTAAAAAATATTCGCAGAAGAATAAATATATGTAAATTATATATTGACAGTGTGGTGCATTTAATAAAAGTTGGGAAAGTGAATTTTAAAATGTTGAACATTTGCATTCATTCCAACACTCGTTGATAGACTGACCTATTTAGGCCTCATTCCGATAGCTTTTGATAAGATGTACTTTATATTTTAGAATGAAAATAGCCACAAGAAAATTCATTATGAGAGCAGTTCGTGTTAGTCTTTTTGGGGGACCTGAAGTTTTGAAGGTGGAGGAAAATGTCCCTATTCCAACCCCAAAGGAGGATCAGGTGGGTTATTATTTGAAAACTGATGTTAAATTCATATCACATTTGATATTATATAAATTAAGTTGTAATCTATTTGAAAGTACTTTTGCATTTTTATATTTATTACAGGATTTGTATGCAATGTTTATTCCCATAAAAGTTAGAGTCAAACTACAAACAACAAAGATTTTTCTTATCTGCTGTAGCATAATGTGCCTGCAGATCTGGATCAGTGTTGTTTGTTCTACTGATTACTCCAATTAAACTACACAGACCAGATCTGCTGGTGCATTAAGCAATGCCAGACAAGGCTCAGACTGTGCAGTTTGCAGTTGGACTCTTCTTACAAGTGAGGGAAACTGTTGAACCGATAATGTAGCCTACAGTCCTGCCATCTCTCCAGGCAGGAGCCAAGCTGACCATCCAGCCATTATTAGCAGAGTCTTCCATCCATACCAATAAGACTAGTCAATGACACTTGTCCGGTCACCAGTGCTGGCTTAGATCTGTAAGGCTTTAACCTTTGCAGAAATACTTGACTATGCTTCAGTGATGGCATAACTTTGTCCCAGCTACACCGTATATTTTACTTCCATGCTGACGGAATGCCAGAAAAACCCCAACCAGAAATTGTGACCTGACGCTTGTGGTTAGGGAGCTGATCTGTTGCCCATTTTCTCCAGTTATTGGTGAGTTGGGGCAATAAAGTTAATATCACTATATCAACATTTTAGAAGTTAAGGCCATTATGTCTACAAAGTAAATAGAAAGGTTTTCATGATTATGTGAGACAATTGTGGATGGTGGTGGTAGAATCACCAGCTCGATGCATTCGGGTTTGGGATATTATCTGCTGGTATGCACAGATGAATATTGATCCAGATCAAGCATTCTGTGCAGGCTCATTATCCTGGTCAATTCATTGCCAAGATGGGACCAAATAATTCACCTAGTCCGATAGTGGTATCTACATATCCCCTTTTGGGGATTATACATTTTGTGGCCACACAGTAATAGATCACAAACTGGCCACCCTCTTCTCACAAGTACTAAAGCTTATTGGATCCATCATTTTCTTGTCCTGGCTACATTTTACTCCAAATTACCAATTTATCCTACTTTTTGCAAACGTTCATTTGTCTATGTTCGGTTCAGACTGGTCTGCCTTAGATCTCAGGCTAAAGTATAAAATCCTGACATAAAATTATGAAAAAAATACCCTCAAAAAATTTTTTTTGCCAGTTTTATTTGCAATGCAAGTAGAAAATCCACATTATTTGGTGTCATTGTAGAGCTACATCTACTTTTCTGTAATACCACCAACTTTAATGCATCTTAAATGACCTTCACCTTGACAGAGCTAAATTTGGCACTGCCTCATGACACATAAACATGGTACCAGGGCTTCATGAGTTTAACCATCATGAGACCAGTGTAAAGTCAACAGTCTTGTCATCGATGTAGAACAATGCTTTTGATGGATTTGCTTGGGGAATTTACTTGCTAAGAAAAAGCCCTTTGCTTTCTTGTTTCTTTCCCGAGTACCTTTGTCATGGCTTATATGACCGTGAGATGTGATGGTCACATATTAGGAGTGTGGTTTACCCTCACAAGAAACATTGGTCCCTCAAGGGTGACAGTATTAGATGTTGTATGCTCTGCATTGCCTACTCATATTACCTCTATTTGAAACATTTATGAAATCCAGAGAAAAAGTAAAAAAAAATTTCTTCATTTATTTCTTTCTTTGAGAATATTTATTTGACCATTGTTATGACATTGGTTCTCCACGGAAAAGGTTCCCGTGCTTTTAAGACCAGAATCCCATTGCGACAACTAGTTCATATTCAAAAGTCCATCTCTCTAACATAACCAGCAGCTGGCATATTTGTGCAGAAACTTTCCCATGGATCCTTTGCAAGAACCACATAATGATGTTTACTGATAGAAATATCGTGAAAATATGCTGATCTAGAA